AGCTCACCGGAAGCACTTTTTCATCAAAACAAGATGGCGGCGCCCATTTCTACCCGGAAAAGCTCACCGGAAGCGCTGGGCGCCGCCATCTTGTTTTGATGAAAAAGTGCTTCCGGTGAGCTCACCGGAAGCACTTTTTCATCAAAACAAGATGGCAGCGCCCAGCTGATGTCGGTACCGGGCCGCACCATAAAAAAGGTTGGGGATACCGGGCCGCGGCGTAAAAAAGGTTGGGGATCACTGTTCTAATGCTTATTTTGCTTTCTAGATCCCTATGCAAAACATTTTTCTGGAAACTGTGAAAACATTACTATACTAGCAAAAGCTCTGCATTTGCCTCATGTTTAATTCTGGTTTTTTCTTCCTGTTAGCCACAGCAAGCATAAAGAAAATAATGCAGACACATGTCATTAAGATTTAAGTCTGCTACTTACAAGGGATTAACTCCCCTGATTTCACTGGAACTATGAATAAACATTGTGAAAGATACTTAAGGTGGAGAAAGTTAATAAGCAGACTGAAAGAAAAACAAAATTGGAAGCCATGTTGCATTGAACTATGAAGCAGAAGTAGATTAAAATATTCTATTATAGTGTATGACTAAACGACACATTTGGAACTCCTATAATTTTTTTTTTCAGAAATAGCAACATATTATTACTTCATAGAGAAAATACATATTAGCGCCAAGCATAATAAAGTTTTCATTTTCAAGAGGCAAAGAAAAGTATAATTTAAAACTTATAATTCAATAATGGAAATCCTTTCTTTTTATTAGAAATATACATTACCAAGAATCCTGTGTGAATGCAACAGCCTGAACAAGTTTTAGATTAAAAGAGGAAGAAATTAAGAAGAAAGAGAATCTGACCTGTATAATGACTGGTGCAGTTCTAATTTGGATTTCTAACCTGGTTTCTCTCACTTACTAGGAATTAATCGAGCATACACCAATATAACTGGAATATAGCATGTCCCAGGGTTAAGTATGCCCTGGTTTAAGGATGACCCATAGTTAAGAACGTGGCCTTCGGGAAAGGGAAGGCGGTTGCAGCGGTGGTCAGAAATGGCCACCTCAAAGAAGAACTCTACCGGAAAAGAATGTGCAAGAGGAAGATAAGAAGAGAAAGTTTTGGCTGACCGAGTCGAACTGAAAAAGCAACAATATAAGGTACCCTGGAATTTGAATTATAAAGAACAACATTGCTCCCAAAGAAAAATTTGAAGCTGCGAATGAGAGAGGGAAGGGAAAGGATTTGGGTTTTTTTCTTTTCTTCCCTATATTGACAACTAAGAGATCTAAGCAAGAAACCGGCAAAAATCCACTTTGACATTAACAGGTATTTAAGCTGAAAATAAAATGTCAAAGGGATAATAAAGATTTCTGGATTCTCAAAAACTTTTAAAAAACAAAAGGGTGGGATCTGGAAAAATGGAGGAGACCACCTGGAAGTGAAAGGAATTAACAGTGAAACTTTAACAAGATTCCTAAAAGATACATTTTAATTGAAACTTTGTAACAAGATAATAGAACCACCCGGAAGAGAAAGTGGAAAAAAGAAGCAAGAAGAAACAGCTTTGGATTATTTGGATTACTTGGTGATTTTTGGATTTTTGGCTATTGGATCTAAAGGACTAAAATTAATCGGGTGGTTGTTTAAAAGTTTTTAAAATGATATCACTCTTGGAAGAATTGAGAATGGAACTTAAAAAACAGAAAGAAGATGCACAAGAAGGAAGAGGTTCTTTTGGCTTCGTATTTCAATTTTTAGAAATGGAGATCCTGAACTATGAGAAACAACATGAAATGCCTGTAGGACAAGAAGGGCGGGACAAAGAAGAAGCCATCTTCAATGACCAAGTATTTCTATGCGGGGAAAAGAAAGGAAAGGGGGGAAAGAGAGTGAAAAACTTAAGATTTGAAAAAACAACCCCCAAAAAGAATAGTTTGAAAAGTAATTATAATACTAGGAAGAAACAGAAGAGAGGATTACAGGAGAGAACCAGAATTAGAAAGAGAAGGGGTCAAAAAGGGAAGGGAGAAAAAGAGAGGGAAGAGGGAAAGGAAAATAAATCATAAAGGACAGAAACAGGACTTAGAGAAACAGGGAAAACATACAAGGATTAAGGGTATAAGCCTATTTAGAAGACACAGAGATAATGGGTGAAAACTCAATTGAAAAGGGGATTCTGCAAGGGTACATAAGATAGTATTGTTATATTAGAAATAGAAATGAACTTTGAAAATATGAAACAAGTGTGATTAAAATGATAGATAAAATACTCATTGTAATATAATGGAATGTTTAATAAAATAAATGAAATAAAGAGAATTAGAGAATGAAACTAGGAAAGGAGGAGAACATTTTAATTATTATTAATGTGTTATAAAATTTAAGTGAAGGGGAATATGAAAGAAATATGAAAAAATTATGGAAATATTATAAGTGTTCCTAGAAGTGTGATATTCTATTGAAAAGAAATGTTAAAGATGTTAAAGATTATAACTAATATGAATGATAGAGCTGAATTGGAATAGAATAAGTCTTTTATTTATTATTGTTTTATATATATACTTTCTTTTTAAGAACTTAGTGCGTATTTTAAGAATGTACCAAGCAGAATTCGACTGAAAGTTATGTGTTATATTAAATGTTATAATTGTAAAGGCATAAATTGAAGTTTAAATAAGAGTTGAATGGATAAAAAATAAAAGATGCAAAGGTGTCATACTCCAATCAGTAACTACAGGGGAAAATTTTGTTTAATGAGAAAAGAAAATATGAAATTGAAACAGGACAGACAAAAGTATAAATATAATGATTAGAAAGATATTGAAACTTAGAAAAAGATAAATATAATTGAATTTAGAAAGGAATGAGATAATTAAAAGTAAGACTGAGAAACTTAAGGGAAGGGAAAAATTATTGAGGAAATGTTAAAATAGTAATAAGATATGGAATAGAACACAAAGATAAATATGAAATTGAATTTGTGTCTGTATGGAGAAGTGATAACCCGGGACCATGCTATTCTCAAAAAAAGAAATTTTACTTGTATTATGTTTTGTGAAAACCCAAATAAAATTCATATATATATATATATAAGAACATGGCCTATCACAGCAAATTTCAAGTTAAATACACAATGGTTCAGGTTCATTACACAATTCTATTTATATAGTATTTTACAATAGTATTATTCCAGCTTATATACAAATTCGACTCAAGAGGACAACCTTGGGAATAGAACTTGTTCTTAAACTGGGGACTACTTCTGTACATTTTTATTTCTATTTGTTCTTTTTTCTTAGTAATAAATTTATCTTTTTAAATATTTAATTTTTGTTATGTTCTCTGAACCAGGGTAGACAAAGTTAAAATATTTTTTTTCATTTTTTAACTAAAGGACAAAAACAGAAGCAGGAATCCCTGATTTCTATAATGAGTTATAGGAACTGGTTCTTTCACTCCATGAAAATAGCTTGTAGTAGTAATGGGGTCTTTTCTTCAAATGAACTATTAATTATTTTTCTTTACCTTGCTTTTGGGAAAATAATAATAATGAATATTGTATGTGAGCTGTATGAACAATTGTATCAAATTCCATGATGACATTCTCGAATCTGAACTGGATTCTTATAATTCCTTTCTGAATTCTATCTCTGTTCACAAAACTAAAAAAACATCAGATTCAAAAATGACCATCCTAATAGCTAGTTTCTAGGCATGAAAAAGTGGCAATATCTCAAGGTATACAATCAAAATTGTGGAAAACAAAAAAGGAAAGATAATAAGAGCATCTCCAGATTCAAATAGTTTGAAAGCCAAAAAGTGATTAACCATGTATCCAAACTGCTACAATATTAGGAACACAGAACTACATGCATAATAGAACTCCCAGTTCCACCAAAGCAATGCATAATTTTTACTGGATTATAGTGTTGTTGGGAATTTTAAATTATTACACCCTCCACCCCCCAAATCTCAGAAGATTAACACTAATGCTTTAATACTGAAAATCAGTTAACATTGTATGGCCAGATGACTGAAATATACCAACATCACAACTTAAAAACTTGTGTAATGAATGGCAGCCCAAAGAAATTTAAAAGTACTCCGAAAGGTTAATTTTTCACAGAAATGTCTTACCACTAAGCAGTTCTATCCAGTTTTGCACGGTTTCTGGAGGCTGAGTCTCTTTAATGTGCTTCAAAGCTTCATCAAGTAGAACATCTCCTGTAGGAGCATCTGATTTGCAGATCACCTGATTGGAAATACAACAGATAAAATGAGCACCTCAAATTTTAATTTTTTAACATTAAGCACAGAGAACATGGCTAAACACCGTACGACATTTTATAATTAAAGGGTTAAACACAGCAGACTGGGACAAGTGTCTTTTTCACTTTTCACAATCAAAGCTCAGTATCTTCTGTGGGCTATGAAATTCATGACAAAATTCTATAGATCACTGAAGAATTTAAATGAAGAATAATTATTCCAGATTACTAGCATGTGGTATTAACAATCACAGAGAAACAGAAATCCATGTAGATGCAAAGACACTGAAAAGAATGGCTAGGATAATTAAACTCAGTATGATTTTTCCAGATGTATCTCTGTATAGATCAAATAAAAAAGGAGTCAGAAAGCAAAGCAATTAAAGCCACTGCTATTTAAAAAAAGCAGAGAACATTAGCAATAAATGCAAAGAAACAACTGTATGGATCTTAAAGGGAATGTGTGAGTAATTGGAAAGAGAATGAAAAGCAAGTATGGATAATGGCTCTTCCTTAATCTCTTCAATGCCAAATCCACTCTCCTTTTGATATTAGACCAGTGTCAACCCTTCGAAATAGTCCATAAAAGAAATACCAACCATGATTACCAACACCACCTTTATTAGATTACAGTAGCAGAATCTTGCAAGCCCCAAAGCCCTTCTCACCTCTTTCACTTTTAATTTCAAAAAAATTGGGGGTGCGTCTCTTCTAAGACGCTTCCCCGCTCCCCGCCCCTTCTATAGAGTGAAATACCTTTTGCATAATGATTGTCTTATCCATTCTACACTTTTCCTCCTGTTTTCTAAGGTCATTTTCATTCTTATAATTCTCATTCTCATACTATTACACCAAATATGGAGGATGTACAGTTCCAACAGGGTGAATAGGATCCAAGAAATACCAATAGAGCTCATAAACATTCTTGCTGGGGCCAATCTTTCTTCCTAAATAAAGAAAATATCTTGTATCTGATTAGTTGCTGATTTCACATTCTATAATCACATTTAAAAGTCCTTGTAAAAGTCCAGCTAAACTTCTAAAAACCAGAAAGTGTTGTAGGCAGAGAGAATTTCTCAGGATGGCAAATACTGGAGAAGGAAGAACTTATCTTCCCCCTCAGCACAAGAAAGTGTACCCTCACTACAAACAGAGGGGTTTTTTTGGATACAAAAAAAAAATGGATACAAGCAGAGAAATTTAAAAAGCAAACTGCAACATCAGCTGGAGCTATTGAGGGATTATTAAACTGAGGGCACGAATGGAATGCATGGATATATGAGAAAGTACACACCAAAGAAAACATTTTGTTTCAAACCAAAGCAATAATATCTGAAGATTTTTGAGACTGAATTCCAGCTAAATAAAATTCAAAATATTTTAAGTATTCCAGCTATAGGGAAAAAAACAGAGAATTCAAAACATGTATTTTGTCCTTTATTCCAGAACCACCAAGGTAGGTGAGCTCACAATCTGTGTTGCTATTTAGCAGGCACTAAACTTGCTCCAAATTAAATGAGGGGATTGTTTTAGAATACATTAAACATGCATCAGGATTAGAGCGGACACTGAAGTTTGATTAGAACCCCTCCCCTGCTATATTTTTAGGTTAATAGTGTTTTTTAAAAAAAGCTTCAGCACAAAAGTTTAATTGCAATCCTCAAGATGAAACACTTGAAATGATCAAACTTTGTTGTGAGGTTGGAACAAAACAGAATTACTACAACTGAAACCTGCTTCAAGGTTGGTATATTTCACACACCTTTAGAGACTAGTTTTATGAAAATGCATGGAATTTAGTTTAATTAAAAATATTGCTGACTACTGAGGTCTCTCAACAATTTATAATTAAACAATAATTGTCCACTGCATAGTCGCTTTTCCTCCTGGGCTTACCAGAACAGATTCAGGCCATACTAAATGAACCCAAATATGAATAGAATATTGTAAATGCTTACAAGGAAAGTGGAAATATAGATGTGAGACTCAATATAAAAGGTATAAGTTAAAGCAGTTAGAACAATTAATCAGTGAAATAACTTGCCTCCAAAAGCTGTAAATGCTCCAGCACTAGAAGTTTTAAAGAACTGATTGGATAACCATTTGTCTGAAATGGTATAGGGCCGTGATGGCGAACCTATGGCACGCATGCCAGAAGTGGCACGCAGAGCCATCTCTCTGGGCATGCGGAGTCGTCGCCTGTTGCTCTTCCGGGTTCCAGTGCATGCATGCGCAGCAGTCACCTGGTTTTCAGGTTTCTGACACACATGCGCATGCAAAGACCAGCTGGCTGGTGCACGCCAGAACCCGGAAGAGCAACAGGTGACGGCTCCGCATGCCCAAAGACATGGAGAGGGGATCCCAGCGGTCGCTTCCTCGCGGAGCAAAGCTGTCAGCCAGGACGGGTGGGCTGGGGCTTCCCTCCGTCCCCTCCTAAGTGGGCTTGTGTGGCCCCAGCCTTCCAGCCCACAACACCGACGCGCATGCATGGTCCAGAGTGCCTGGCCGGCTTGGGTGCCACAGAAGAGCAGCGGCAGCAGCAAGGGACACGAGTGACCGGCCAGCCCCTGCAGCCACACCCCACCGGTGAGCTGGGCTCTCAACGACATCTCCATGTGTGAGGAGCTGTGGTCTCCTTCGGCCTTCCTGGGGCAGCTCGCCTCCCCGATGGCGACTCAGCCACTTCCTCCTGCAGCATCCCAGCTGGAAGTGGCAGTGTGAGGGGCTGGAAGCGGTTCTCGCGGTGCCACTTCTGGCCGGGATGCTGGAGGAGCCACTGTCAGGAAGGTGAGCTGCCCTAGGAGGGCCGGAGAGCACAGCTTCTCACGCATGGATACGCCACTGAGGGCCCGGCTCGCTGCCATGGGAGAGGCTGTGGGGCTGTCCAATCGCTCCTGCCCATCACCCTGTGGCTGCTGCTCTTTTGGGGTGGTGGGCCTGCACAGGAACTGAGTCCGTGCGGGAGGAACGGTTATCCGGCGCTGGGGTAAGAGGAGGTGGGGAGGGGGCTTCCCTGGCCAGCCGCAGGATTGGAATCAGCTGGATGCAGGAACCAACACCGTCCATGGCCCTGGTGCACTGCTCGCTTACGTGAGCCACCCTTACTGTTTGGAGTCTGAACGGAGCGGGGAAGCACCGCGGGGCCAGCCCATTCACACCCGCGTCCAGCCAGCCAGAGTTCGCTGCGCCGGGGCAGGAATGAGACCCTGTCCCATGGAGCCTGCTCCCGCTTGGATGGGGAGGACAAGGAGGAGGAGAACAGTGATGGTTTTCACCGGCTGGCCAGGCAGGGTGCACGTCAGGCAGTGCTGGCTGGCTGGTTGGAGAGAGGGCAATCATTAGGTGGCTGCCGCTGCTTCAGTGGGGAAGATGAGGAGAAAACGGCTCCTGCCCCCTGCCCCCACTGCCATCACCAGTAGCTTAAATCTCCAGCTAAAGCAGGGATTGCACGCTCTCTCTCTCATACAAACACACACACACAGAGTTTGGAATGCCCCCCCTCTGCTGCAGCAGTTGCACGCTTCAGTGCCTGGCTGGAAGGGCACTCAAGATAACCAGTGGCGGGATGGAGGGGGTGACTCCACACCTCCCTGCCTTGCTTCATACTCCACCCCCCACCACCTCAGTGCACAGGCAGCTCCTGCTGCCTGTGCCGCTCCCAGAAACTTGGCTGAAGATCGCTGTCTCTCCCATACAAACACAGAGTTTGGAGAGCCCCACTCCTCTCTCTGTCTCACCCCATTTGCATGCAAGCTCCGTGGGACAACAAGGTCTCATTAAGTAGTTATGTAGAAAGTAGATTTGGGGGGGGGGAAGCGGGAGACCGCCAAACACTTTTCGCAACAAGAATGAAAGTTTCTGGTGGATTTTTCAGTGGCAATCAAGATGGTACCGCTATCTACTGAGAGGAGTTGCGAGAGAACAGTGGGAGGGCGGCAGCGGCAGCGCTGCTGAAATGAAAGGCAGAAGCTGGCAGGCCAGGCTCTTCCAAGCATGGGGAGTGTGGCCGATTCCTGTGCCAGCAGTGGAAGAGGAGAAAGAAGAGGCGGCGCTGTTGGCTCCAGCCATAAAAGCCGAGGCGGCAGATTCGCCGTCCTAGCCCTCTTCATCAGGCGCTTCTGCTGACCGGGGATTTATTGACAGCAGAAGCGCCTTATCCTTATGTGCCTGTTTCGGGAGGAACATCTGTCCAGCACTGGAGTAACAGGCATGTCGGCTGGGAAGCAGTCGTGCTCCCTTGGCAAAGGTGGCAGGATGAGGGGGTGCTTCATTAACACTTCTGTGCTTTCGGGCTCATGCATGCGCACTGGCCAGCTGGTCTGCGCATATGCGCCAGAAGACGGAAGACCAAGTGGCCAGCACACATGCATGCACTGAAAACCAGCTACTCTTCTGGTTTCTGGCACGCGGGCTTGTGCGCATGTGCACACCTCCCATTTCAGCATTCGGTGCCAAAAAGGTTTGCCAACACTGGCCTAAGCAGGGGGTTGGACTAGAAGACCTCCAAGGTCCCTTCCAACTCTGTTATTCTATTCTAAGCCAGAAAGAAACATTACAACCAAAGGAAGTCTAGATGAACAGATGAATGATTACAGATGTAAACGATAACCAAGTAGGCGGCAGATCCCCTGAGGATCCCAGAACAAGAGGTTGCTGTGGAATAACTGTTTCAGATGGAACTTTGAGTTATTAGACCAAATTTATTCAATACTGCAGGCACTTCAAACAGCACTGGGTGTTAAAAAAGAATGAATGAATGGAAACAGTAACTGAATTTGAACATTCTTATCAGCTCAACATCAAAGCTGGGTGCCCATTTTAAAGGTAATGTATAGATAATAGAAAGCCCCTGTAATATAGCTGTTCATTGTTTTGATTATAATGTGTATACCTCCTCTTCATACTTCGTTATATGTAAACCTGATCCCCAAGGCAATGGTTGATTGAAATCACGATTAGAACAAATTGTTTTTAACAGTGAGCAACTGGCAGTTCAAAAATATCCTCTGAATGTTGGTATCAGGCACAAATATTCGTTTAATTTAAAACATGTATATAGCTGCTCATCCTACAACCAACTTTGGCTACTGGAAAAATTAGAATTATGAATTATTTCATGGGTACAATTAATACACCTTTTAGAATAGTTCTTTAAAAGATCCACAAAGTGAAAAAAAATGAAGAAAATATTAAAATTACATTTTTGCCCAACCTTTTCAACCAAGGACTTATTTTTGAAAGTCTGGCTTCTACCCCGCTTCCCTCAACTTGCTCATTCCTAGTTTAATATAATATAAGAGCTACCAGATTAGTAAGTACTTTGCAACTTTCAGGAAATTGTTAATTTTAAATAATCTCTAACTGCAATTAAAAATTCATATAACAAACACTAGATAGAGCCCATAAATATTTAATTACTGTAAAGACCTAATCTTTTAGAAACCAAAATATTGTTAAAGTACAACTATCAATAGGCCCAACTAGCACAACCAATAATTAGGCATCTATAGAAGTGTAATTTAAAAGTATTTGAAGGCCACAAGTTTCTATTCTCTATCTCTGAACCAAGTTATTTGCTCGTATTGTCTAAACATCAAATCTTCCTTGGATGTAATATCAAAATAAAAAAAGATAAGGACATCTAAGTTATTACTCTATAGATGTTGAATTTCAAGGATCATTCCTGCATTTTTGGCAAATCTATAAATTTTCTGTGTTCTGCAAAAGAAAAAGGAAATCCACTTAAAATTAATCACAGCTAAGCACAGCTGTACATAAGTAATATATCTTTGCTGTGCAAAGCTTAATTCTGAACAGTGGAACAGTGTGGAAATTTTTTAAACTTGCTTTTTACATAGGTGAGTCAAATGTTGTATTGACAGAAAGTTTGCCCATGCAACCAGATTTGTGGTAGAGAATGAAGCGGGTATTATTCACAAAATCTCTCCAGGAAGAAGAGGAGCCTTTATATAATGCCAATAAAATCAAACTGAATGAGTGATTCATTCCCAAAGTAGGCCTTGGATTTAACAAATTTCATATGCTAAGTACTTTTACAAGATTGCCCAAATTTTTGAGCTATCCAGATTAAAGTATTGAACTTGCTGATTAATATTAGCCTTCTTGCAGAGTCTTTAGAAATGCTGACATAAATATGTAGTTTTATAAATATTACCCTATGTAAAAATGTAAGGGAAAAAGATTTTAGAAAAGTACAGAGGTTTTCTTTACTGCACTTACCTTTCTAGTTAGCAAACTTTTACGTCTCATTCCAAATGCTTCAAGCTGAAGACGCCCCCTCAGTGCCAATTCAATTAACATGCAACCACGGAGCCCGGATGAAATGCAATCATTCCAAAATGATGTATAACCCTAAAGGGGGGGAAATGTATAACTGATTTTTGTTGTAAATGCATTACAAGAATAAGTACTCATATACAACCTGAGACAAAAAATTATGTTGCTTTCTGATACAACAAAATAGTTGCAACAAAAATAAATACTAATGAAGAAGTATTTTCTTCCATTTTTCTTTCCATTTCTGTTTTTTGGGGGATTTGGAGAGTTGAGAATTTTACAGGAATGTTCTTAAGTTGGTCTGTGATACATAAAGTACAGTCTTGCTACAATTACATATTGAGGTTTCCACGCATGTATGTGTACCCATAACTAAACAGATTATTAAACAGTAAAAAGGCTAATCTCATCAATAATTTTTATATAATTTTCTTACTCCCTTCTTATATAAGAATTTTTTCCTAGCTTGCTCTATATTATCTTTATATTAGAGGAATACTGCTGAAAAAGCTTTTTCTTTTCTCTAAATTGGAAATACCATTTTGATATCTCCATGCATAGTAATTCATTATATAACTATTTTAAAAACTTTATACATATTTGTATAACACACGTCTATTCATATTTAGCCTCTAACTGCTAAAAGAAGAGACAAGATTACTGTCATAGATTCACCTGTACCAATTTCTCTGCTTCTGAAAAGTTACTCCAACTTATAGTGAATATAACAAAATCACAGGCTCTTTCACAAATGGAGGAAGCCGTTTCTTCTACATAAGGGCAAACCCAGACAAATGGAATTTAAAAAATAAAATTAGGACACCAATCTTGACTCACCAAATAAAATTACCATTAGTTTTAATTAAGAACATTCAAAGCTGTTTTTGTTCTGAAGCATTAAAAAGAAATGGAATGGAAAATATTAAATGCAGTATAGTCTTTCTTTGAGCATTATTGAATAACTCTGGAAAACTATGAACTTTATTACTTGCTCATATATTTTCAAAAGAATGCTTCAATAATAAACGTGTGTACGCATCTTCTATTAACTGAATTATATTGCGTATCACATTTAGAAATCACCCATGTCCCTCATAGAATGACTCTGGGTAGTGTACAAGTAAGAGATAAAAACATAAAAGCTATATATAAATTTTAGATTAGTAGGCAATTAAAACAAAAATAGAGTAATGAAAATTAAACATTAAAAAGGCAGGGGAGAAAGGCCTAACCAGCCCCATGACTGCATGCTTCTCTGTGGGCCCCAAGCAAGTCAAAAGAGCAAGGTATTCAGAGGTCAAGAAATTGGGGACCTGCCTCACTTCTGGGGGTATGCTGCCCTGCTCCCCCCATGTCCATGTATGGCAGGAGTTCCACAGGTCCCCCAAACAGGTCCTCAGAAAACATCCCTGTTGCGCTGGTCCAGATTCCGAGCTCAGTACAGCAAGAGTCACTGGGTAATTGAGTCCAAGCAAAACAGGCCAGAATACACAGCATGAACACACAAGTCACAGAACTGGGCAGGTTGCTCCAGCAACACTCCAGTTGTCATGCCCCTGGTGGAGACTGACTCTGAGGGAGAGGAGGAACAGCCAACAGGGAGTGGAAGTGTGGCTCCAGAGGTGGTGGAGGAGGCTGGGGTAGGGCAGAGGCTGGCTGAGCCGTCAGAGGAGAACCCAGGTCCATCCCCTATCCATCCTAGGGCAAGCAGGGAGGAAAGGATCTGGGAAAAATGTGGTCTACTCGGGAGGGCCATGATCCTCTTTATGGGTTGCAGGTGTGAGAACTGCATAAGAGTTGGGACCTGCATGCTAGCAAACGCCGGAGACAAATTAGTGTTTTTCCTGGATGAGGTTTATCTTGGTTAGCGTTTTTCCAACAGACTGTACCTGGTTATCTTCTTGAAGTTTGTACCGTATTTGCCGGCGTATAAGACGACCCGGCGTATAAGACGACCCCCCACCACCACCAGAAACGCCCTCCAGAAATCCCCGGGGCTGCAGCGGCAGGGCGGAGTGCCAGGGGCCGTGGGAAGAGCAGGAAGGCTGCAGCCTCGGGCGGAGCGAGGCGAGCGGGATGAAGTGGAAGCGACGCAGGGGATCCGGGAAGCCAGAGGCGCCTTCGCTGCGTCCAACAAGCATCCGAAAGCCGGCAGTGGATATACCGGCGTATAAGACGACCCCCCCCCACTTGGAGGCATGTTTTTCGGGGCAAAAAAGTCATCTTATACGCCGGCAAATACAGTAATTATTTATCCTGGTCTGTCGTGGAACTTTCTTCAGTGCAGTTTGTTTTTGGTTTTTGCTTCGTTATCTGCTCTTTGAATTTGAACTGTATTTTCTTTCATTTGGAATGTTATTTTGAAAAGAGTTTAATCTTCAACTGTGAACAATTAAACAGTGAAGCCAAGTTGAAGGCGTTTATTTACCTTTTGGTTTTTGTTATATTTTTGATACACTCTGGGTCATCACAACAGTCTTCAGGGCAGAGTTAAACAGGCAATGCCAGTACAAAGCTCTTCATGAGAGGTGAGGTAGCCTCCTTGCGAGTAGCCTATCTAGCTGACCGGCATTGTGCCTGCCTCCTCTACGTGTCCTTGGATCAGGAAGAGGTGGTGTGGACTCCACCTCCTCATTGCTAACAGGTGGCTCCCAGTCCTTGTCTGGAGATTCCTGGCCAACTTGCTGGAGCTGTGGCTCACCTCACTCAGCTGTCACTCCTCCAATTGACCCAGTTGAGGCTGCTTCATCAGGCTAGCATTCTTTGAGCCCCAATCCTGACCAATACTCAGCTCCAAACTTCAAAACTGCAAACCTCTGCAGACTCAACCTCCTCCTCTGAACTTGCATATGGAAGGGGCCAAGAGGCGGATCCATGATGTGGTGAGTAATGTTCCAAAGAGTGGGGGCATAGGTAGAGAATGCACCTTTCTAGACCCCACCAGTCAAATTCTTTAATGGGGGGGAGGGCTGCAACATGTAATGGGCCAATGTAAATGGGGCAAAAATAGTAGGGCTTTAAAAGTCATAGCCAACATCTTGAATTGGGGCCAGAAGCAAATGCAGCTCGTGCAGCAGAGGTGTTACATGCCCAAGATTGCTTGTGTGGCCGCATTCTGTACCAGCTGAAGATACTTTTCAAGGGTAGCCCCATGAAACGCATTACAATAGTCTAGATCAGGGGTATCAAACTCACTTCATCACGGCGTCATCATGCGATGTATTGTAACTTTTTCCCCCCTTCGCTAAACTGGACGTGGATGTGGCCAGTGTGTGATGCATCCGGCCCGCGGGCTGCGAGTTTGACAGCCCTGGTCTAGATGGAAGGTGACTAGGGAGTGAGTAAGTAAGCAAAGAGTTATTCCAAAAAGGGCATAGGTGGCAAGCAACATAAAGTTGCGCACAGGTCCAAATACAATTTAAATGAAGTTATAAATCACCTGATTTGCTTACAAATCACAATAAAATTGTAATACAATACAGAAATGTATTAAAAAAAACCTAAATGTCTAAAAAATATAAAGCTAGAAGATAGGTGATTTGCTGTTAAATGTTTCATACTACATTTTAAAATCTAATATTTGAACATAAAGTAGGGAAAACTGAGAGGGAGATATATATTCTGAAGAGAAATAATGAGACCCAGGAATTCCACTTAATTTGCCTCTCCCTATGGTCAGCGATTTACAGTGCTCTCCTGTACATGTAATATGGAAATAAGTCCAATCAGATAATTTGCTGTCAGATAATTGGACAAAGAATTAACACAGCAAGGGATAAACTGGTTCATAAAACAAATGTACCTATTAATTCATATAATTCATACAGAAATGAAAGAAAGTCTTTAATATTTATTAAGCATGTTTACACTGCAGAACAATAGCCATCTGGATTGATGACTGGATTTTTTTTCTCAGAAAAAACAAAGCCATCAGAAGAAAAAAAAGGACCTGACTCAATAATACCACAAGTATTTTTATAAGTTCTCAGACTAATTTTACACAAACTTAGAATTCCAGAACACTCAGGAAATACATGACAAATTAATTGCATAATCAAGGGGTTTTTGTAACCATGCTTTTGAAAGCAAACACAGTACAGGCAATCCTTGAGTTAAAATCACTTGTTCAAAGTTAGAACAGCACTAAACAAGTAGTACTTATGACCAGTCCTTAAATTTCCATCTGTTGCATTGCCCCATGGCCATGTGCTCATGATTTGGGTGCCTGGCAACTGATCCCCATTTTTGACAGATTTCAGTATCCCTCGGTCACCGGATCACAATTTGCAACTTTCCCTGCTAGTTTTCAATGCGGAAGCCAGCAGGGAAGGTTGCAAGTTGCTCTCGCCACTTTTTCTCCTGAGACCGATTACAATATGCAAGATCCCAGAGACCTTGTACTCTGTAACAATTTCTAATTGGCATTTGATAGTGGTCATCTGCACTCCTTAGTGTCCCCTGCCCATGCTGCTTAGCACTCACCTGAAGCCCTACCCAGTCCACCTGTTCCTCCTAGCACCTGCGCACAGCATCCCTTGAGAGCCATAGTGTCTGCCTGCAAGACCCTCCTGCAGCACCCACATTTACCTCCCTTCTTCCCTGGGAGTTCTGCACAATTCGAGGATTACAATGGCAACCAGGAGTGCAAGGATTGCTCTTGATAAGCACTGTGGTAACCTGAGAGCCACCTGTACTTATTAATATGTTACAAAGTTTCATCTTCTAATTTTAGTCCTACTTCCTACTGCAAACTGACAAGACATTAGAAGCTTCATTTTGATGTTACTTATTACATACGAATATTAACTCCTGAATTTGGGAACAAGCATTTCAACTTTTTACATACTGACATGACAGCAACAGCCAACAATATAAAACTATCTTAAATATAACAGAGATCGTTTATATTTTGAACTCAAAACAGTGCTTTAATGCATGAAAGAAAGGATTTGTTTGTATTAGAAACAAATAGCACATTACTACTGAAATAATATTAATAAACTGAATTGTGTATCTGAAGATACCTCAGATATCTAAAAGCAAGTTTTAATCTGAGGTTAAAAACCAAGAAAGAT